TACAAGCAATCCACGGGGCCTAAGAATTGAATGCAGTCTCACATGGGGTGCCACACAATGCCAGGGATAACAGGTAGTGACGTCTTAGTAGGGCATTTAATGGGGTTGTTAAAATTCCATCCAAATTAGGAGCTTCATTGAGAATTTTGTATGATTTAAGATCTTAATTTTATGTAATTAAAGTTTAAGATTTTAATTGAATATACACTACAAACAGAATGCCTTTTACCAACAGAAGTTTATACTAACAGACATGAATCCGTCTGTATAAAATCATCTATACCAACGGAAAATTTAAGTAGTTAGTATACACAGATCTATACTAACGAAAAAATTATCCATTAGTATAGGATAGATTTATACAAACGGATTCTAATTATCCGTTTGTACTGAGTATGTCAATTCTAACGGATAATCATTATCCATCTGTGTACCTGTGACTATACAGACGGATTAACGCTGTCTGTGTAATTCTTTATTTCTTAAACATATTTTTTTTTCCTTTTCAATTTTAGCCATCTGTATACATTTTCCCATCCCCCCACATCTTCCCAATTTTCCCTCCCCAAATTCTGAGTTTCCCTCCCTAATTATCTCCGTCCCTCTCCCAAATCTCCAAATTTTGGAGTTGATTTTGCTAAAACTCAAAAACCAATTAGAACCTAATTGCCAAATTCATTTCCTCAACTCTAATCCATCAACGACAGGAGGTCAATAGGTGAGTTTGTGTTGATTTTGGGTGATTTCTTCCTAATCCTCTTCGTTTCTTCTCTCTGCCAGAGGTGTTGCTAACGTGGACTGGAACATTCTCGATGATGCGGCGGACTTTGACCTCTAGGTCATCCTCTTCCTCCTTTAACACTGGCTTCTCATACTCCACAATCGCCGTCGATCCCACTGTAGGAGGACGCGGCGGTAGTCCCGATTTCTATTCCGTCAACGCTAACTGCATCTTCGCGTCCTTCGGTTTGCCTGTCAACATTTTGTCTCAAAACCCTAACAAAACTGAGACTTTATGGTTTTTAGGAAGATAATTGAACTCATGTTTGAGTTTGACTGACAATTTGTAGGGTTTTGCATAATCAAGGGATTTGGGGTTGGAGAACAAGTGCTACAGGGGAGGGAGGTTGCTGCTCTAGATCTGCTTGAAACCCATTTCTCCCTTTTTCTACCACTATTTCCATCTGTCATCTCTTGATTTCATTGTTTCCTCAGGTATTCCCTTTTCTCCCGTCTTCTTCACTCTTCCTTTCTCCCATTAAAAATTTTTCTGAAGATTTGATCATATTTTTGTTTGCGACTTTTGCTGATTATTTATGTTTTATTTGTCAGTTTAGATCTTCAGGTATTTGATGAGAAAAGTATAAATAGAAATCTTGTTTTTAGATAATTCTTAAATAAAAAATTGATAATTAATATTTGTAAATTGATAAGATGTGTGCTTTGGAAATTCATATTCTGCTGCTACGCTATTTGTTTCCCTTTTGATATCTGTATGTTATTGGAGTTCTATGTTTTTAATAAGGTAATAAATACTAATAAGATAAGAGGCCTTTAATGTCCATGGTGGTGAAGTTCCTAGAGGGCAAAATGGATGATGTAAACGACTGTGATTTCTC